CCCCCCTCCCCAGGAGCCAGCAGTGACAGCTGAGGCCATGTGAGTGGGGCCTTGAATGAGGCTTTATCTCTGGCTGTTCGTCCCAGCATCTACTGTGGCACCAGCTCCCTCGGCCAGCCGGGATGAGACAGGAGACCAAAAGAGGCAGAGCCAGAGAGGTTAGGGGCTGGGCAAGGGGATTCCCTGGAAGGGTGGCGGTGGGGTAACCTGTGGGGGAGGGATCTCTCCTGGAGTCATCGGAGAGGCAATCCCAAGGACAGTGCTGGCAAGGAGGCTTTCCCAGGGAGGATTCTAGGGGACACTAGGGAGGATTCTCAGGAATCATCCTCAAGGCTCTGGGGTGAGACCATAAGGGGCGGGTGGACTGGGGAGGTAAGACTGTGATCCTTCCCCTGCAGGTGATGGTGAACACAGCCTGGACTGTGAGAGGAATGGGACTCTGGGCCTGTAGCTGCCAAGCAGGTGGTGGGGGCACCAGGCCATGATCTGCACCCTCTGACCCCTAACCTGACCTTCTGCCCTGACCTCTACCTGACCAAGCTATGTCTGCACAGGAGGCTCAAGCCCCTGGGGGCCGGGGGCTGCCCCCAGACATACTGGCAGAGCAGGTGGAACTATGGTGGTCCCAGCAGCCACGGCGCTCTGCACTCTGCTTTGCCATGGCCGTGGTCCTTGTGGCAGGCTGTGGGGCGGGTGGCGTGGCACTGCTGTCATCCACCAGCAGCCGCTCGGGAGAGTGGCGCCTAGCAACAGGCACAGTGCTCTGTCTGCTAGCCTTGCTGGTTCTGGCGAAGCAGCTGATGAGCTCGGCCGTGCAGGACATGAACTGTATACGCCAGGCCCACCATGTAGCCCTACTGCGCAGTGGTGGAGGGGCCGATGCCCTCGTGGTACTGCTCAGTGGCCTTGTGCTTCTGGTCACTGGCTTAACCCTGGCTGGGCTAGCTGCTGCCCCTGCCCCTGCTCGGCCACTGGCTGCCATGCTATCAGTGGGTATTGTGCTGGCTGCCTCAGGTTCGCTCTTGCTGCTGGGCCTGCTGCTGTATCAGGTGGGTGTGAGTGGACACTGCCCCGCCATCTGTATGGCCACCTCCTCTACCCAAAGTGGCCACAGTGGCCATAGCAACATCTTCAGCATCTCAGGACAGCTATCTGCTGGCCAGCGTCATGAGACCACATCCAGCATTGCCAGCCTCATCTGATGGAGCCAGAACCCTTCTTCCCACACCTGCCTCTGTGTTCCCAGAACTATGCCTGTGTGTGTGTGTGTGTGTGTGTGTGTGTGTGTCCCAGGGCTGTGTCAGCCCTTCCGTGAGATTGTGTGATGTGCGGTTAAGAGTCCACGTGTTCCCACATAATCACACCACAGGAAGGCTAGTGTGTGTCTCCTTGGAATGGAGTATTTGTGTCCATGGAACCGCCTGTCTGTGTCTGGGGTCTCTAGGCACAGAAATGTCTGGAATCCCTGAAGATTCTTGACCCCTGCTTCCAACACCCCTCCAATCCAATCAACCCTGTCATGTAACAACCAGCAGGGACTTCTACGGGAGTGACTGTTGCCTACTCCAGAGACTGTACCAGTGCCCGCTCATCAAGGAGAGTAACTGGTGACAAAGTGGAAAGAACAAGGGCCTGGAATGAGACAGGCCTGGAGTGAGATCCCCCCGGAGCACTAGCAGGTGGGGGACTTGGGCGAGTGACTTTGCCTCTCTAACCTCTGTTTCTTAAGGTTCATGGTTGTGGTCATCGATGGTGAGGACTAAATGTCATTGTGTATGGAAGGAGGGGGCTCATGGCAGATGTGCAATAAAATGATGACTGCTATCGTCATTGTCAGTGTCTTCCCCATCTCACCTCAGAGACCTTCCTTGCCCCAGCCCCACGTTCCACTGGGTCTAAAGTGAGCTCCTCACACCTATGTTGGCCTTGAAGGTCTTCCCAGCCATGCCTGTGGGTTCTCCTCTTGGGTATCAAGGCGCTCCCAGGGAGAGGGTGAGTGGATGCCCAGCTTTGGAAAGGTGGAGAGTTTCCAGTCCCAGGGAGAGCGTGGGGGACCTGAGTCCTTCACATCTGCTCACACACTGGTTTAAGATGAGGCTTTAAGTACGTGTCATTCTCTGGGGACTGCACCTTCCTTATGCAGGGCCCCTTCAACAGATTTCCTAGGGCAGCTGGGAGGCTGCAGCTTCCTCTACCTCTGAAACCAGAACACTCTGCACCTATGCAGTCCTGCACTGCTGGCCTGTTTCTGGGCTCCTGGGCATGGGGGAGGTGTTTGAAACCCCTGGGGCAGTAAGAGCCACTTTCTGCTGGGAGTCAGCCCTGGAAGGAATCCCCTCTTCTGGGGCGCACAGTGACAGCTCCTGGGTGATAAAGATCCTCAGAAGCATCACTCAAGTTACTGTTTCATCACTTCCTGCTTCACAAGGAAAGTTGCCTGAAGCCCCATGAAAGATACCCAGAGAGGCAGGGAAAGGAAACCTGCATCCAAAGAGATGTTGTACCAGAGCTACAAAGGCTGATGAGAAAATTGCTCTCAGCAGGCAAGAGCAAGGATTCTCTTGGAGAAGATGCTAGGCTGGCAGAAGGGAAGGGCATTGCACACTCAGGGAGGGAGCAAGATGAGTAGGCTCAGGAGGGAGAGACAGGGCATGTCTCAGAACACCAAGCACAACAGAGCCTCCCTACTGGGTGCTCCAGGGGTGCCTCATACCCAGTGTATTCAAAATGGCTCCCACTCCTCCCAACTCGAGTGTGGTACCTCCACTAACCTCCTGGACCACACCTCCACTACCTCCTCACCCAAGTCCAACCACAGATCACCCAATCCTCTGGTTTCCCTCACAAATGTCTGTCTGGTAATCCACGTCTGCATACTTACCACTAGAAGGGACCCTCTTCATCTTTGCCAGAATTGTTCAGCAGCCTCCTTACAACTCTCCTACTTTTGTTCCTTTCTCCTCTGAAATCCACTTTCCCCAACCACAAACACACACATACACTTGAGCCAGAGTGATCGTGGCAGATGTGCAATAAAATGATGACTGCTATCGTCGTTGTCAGTGTCTTCCCCATCTCACCTCAGAGACCTTCCTGGCTCGTGGCAGATGAAGTTCACTAAAATGAAAATTTACCTCAAAACCTGTCTGTGGCTGCCCACCTCTTATGGGCTCCCTAATGTGGCTTGGCCTCACTCTCCCCTCAAAGAATCCCATGAGCCAGCCACACTGAGCTATTTCCATGAACTCACTGTGTTCTCTCACTTCTCCCAGCCTTTATATGTCCTGTTCTCTTTGCCTTCTTGTCCTTCAAGACCCTGTTCTCTGGAGAGCCTTCCCTTCCCCTCTCCCCTGAAACTAGTGAGTTGCCCCTTTCTATGCCCACAGCACCCTCCATCGTAGACACCAACCAGTCTGCAATGCTTTCTTTTTTGCACCTGTTTCCTTGAGTTGGTCCCAGCAGGGTTTGCATCTTGCTCGTCTGTGTGTCCCTCTTGTTCCCAGTATGAGCCTAACACAGAGCATGTTTTGTTGGATGGTTTAAGGACTCAGACTTGGTGTGTGCAGGGAGCAGGAAGAGACCCACCTACAACTGGAAAGGGTAGGGAAGTTAGGCCACTGCCCCTGCTGGCCCTGTGCCTATCCTTCCTGAGGCCCTGTGCTTTCCATCCCAGAAGTCCTCACTCTGCCTACACTCCCAAGAGCAACCTATTACTATAGCCAACTCCCAGCTGTTAGGGGACCACAGAATGCTCTGTTATCATGTAATATGGGGAGAAAACCCTTTTTCTTTCATCTGAGACAGGGTTAGGCCTTTTTTCTCATGTCTCACAATATTTCTTTAAAGACACCGAAGGAAAACAGCATCACGGAGGCCTAGAATGTGGGGGTGTGGAGAGGGTTAACTGGCATAAGCGTCTGGCCAAGCAGTTGTCATGGGCAAGGCCAGTGCCAGGCTCTCTAGGGAAGAATGCAAGTCAGAGATTAGGACTTGTGCCCCCAGAGAGGCTATCCCATAGGGTAGAAGTTGGCATCTTTATACCCAACTGTACCAGAAGACAGGTGATGGTCCAAGCTGAATTGAGGCACAGGCAGAACAGAAATGCTTCTGCCTCCTCAACTACTAAAGCAGACTTACCACAAGCCCCTGCCTTCAGCTTGCTCAAATCATGTCACAAAGCTCCTCCTCAGTTTACATCGCTACCAGCGGTCCACTGGCCTCTCTCCCTAATGCTGCTGCTTCCTCACTTCATCACCCCCTCCTGTCTTTACCTCCCTTACATCTGGTTAAGGTTCTGTGGCCCATCATTTCACCCACTCTTTGATATACTCCTCAACTCCTTCATCCCTACCCTTGGGTCCTACCTTCCCAGCAAAACCCCCACCATGGATGAATCCACCCATCTGCCTCACTGCGCTTGCCCCCACGGTGAGTGGTTATTGATAAGCCTATACAGTCAAGCTGTGGTTTCACTGGGAACTCCTCAGTCAAGTACTCAACTGAGCCTGCAACTGCTCCTCAGTGATGCTCCATTTCCCTGCTCAGCTCCTGCTCCCTCTGTGATACTCAAGTTCTTTCCACTGTCTTCCTCACGGCATTCCCAACCTCTGGGCTCACCTCCCACCCCAACACCACTCTCTGCAGAAGACTTAGCCCCCACTTCCTGAGACAGTGAGAGCACATGATGGGAGTTCTTCCCCTTGCTCCCACCAAATTTCTCCTTTACTCTTGTGTGTCTAGTGGCCTTGTCAGTCCAGTGAAGGAATTTGGACTTTGTCCTCAGGACACCAGAAAACATGGACAGACTTTAATCAGGGGAGTTGGGTTCTGTGGCCAGAATAGGGATTTGAGATTTGCTGGCTGCTTCTGGAAATTGGTCTTAGAATACAAAGAATAAGAAATGGCCAAATAGCTCATCTCAACTGGTCACTGAGGGGTGAGAAGCAGCTGGTCAAGCCAGAGAAGTTGGGAAGAGTATCCCAGAAAGAAAGACTAGCACGAAGAAGGGTGCAGACTCTGAAATCTAAGGTGGCATTCGGTAATGAGAAAGACAAGAGGGGGCTGATAGACAGCATAGAGTGTTCTGGACCTAGAGGCTGCCACTGGACCCAAAGTCAGGCGAGGTGTGGAGAGAGAGAAACTTGACCCATGTCCTTCCTGGGTTTCATAGTCAGACTCTAGGTTCTCAGACATGTCGCCTGCATATCTGACATGGGAAGAATTTGCTCTAGAAATTGCCCATTCTGGGCCAGACCAAGTGGTCCTTGCATCATATCTAGTCATGTCTCATATAAGACCTTGGGCTTTCTGGGGACACTCAGGTCTCCCGAGAGGATGTGCAGCCCCAGGAGACCTGCACATCCCCTCTCATGCTGTTTCCTGCATAAGGACAGGGGCTGCCCTCCTGACTCTTCCCCAGAGGACCTATGAGACTCCACTGGGCATAGCCCATGCCACCACCCCAGGGACCAGGAGGGCCACAGACACTGAGGGCCAGGCCTGGCCAGGGATGGGATCTACCGGTTCTACCCCCATGGCCTGCTCTGCCAAACCTGGAGCTCACACCCTGAAACTTCTCAGTCATTCTCTGGGGACAAGGGGAAAGAGGATCTAGCCCAGGCAAGATGGGACTGAGTCCAACAGCCAAGAGGTAGCTTCCTTGAGTCTGTTTTATTATTGCTTCGAGGTGAGATAACAGCGTTATTGCTGGGTGAAGTAGGAAAATTGCATTTAACCTGTTTGAGCCTCATCTTCTCTAAAATGGGGTAGCCCGCCCAGCAGGGCTGTTGTAAGAAAGTGCTAGAGCATTAGTGGTATTGTTTATGTTGCTGTTATATCCTACTGCATCAGAGATTCTAATTCAAATCCTTTGCTCCCCTGACCAGATCTTCTGACCAGAGTCCTGGGAAACAGAGACATTTCAATCTCCAGTCCAGAAATGAGGGATGCATGGCAAGCTCCTCCCTCAGGACTAACACTCTTTACATGTTATCGGAGCTATTGCCCTGAGGGTACCCATAGGGATATAACTAATACATGCAGAGCACTTGCTCTGTTCAACTTTCCAGAGACAACCCTAATAACCATAAGAGGTAAGTACTGTTAGGATCCCTATTTTACTAGGAAGTTGGAGCCCTGAGGGGCTAAATAAGTCACCCAAGGTCACACAGTGCAAAAATGGCAGAGTTGAGATTTGAATCCACATAACCTGTGCTCTCAACTCACTTTGCCCCTCTGCTAGGATGCTGCTGGAGTTTCTTAAACTTCATGTCTGTGGCTTTGTGTGACCTGTTGTGTTTGGCTTCTACATGTGACAGGGATGTGGCCTTGCCTTTGGAGGCAGAAGGATGAGGCAGCAGGTGGCTGGGTTGGGGTTCCCAGGACACAGTAGGTAGCGACAGCTGCTGAGACATGGAGGACCAGGTGCAATGTTAGGGCAGAGGCAGGTGCGGCCAGGACCCAGAGCTGGAAGAGGCTGAACCAGAAAGGGCCCAGCTGAGTCACAGGCTCCCAGCAGCTCCAGTGCCCCAGCCCTTGGAGCCTGCAGGCCCAGGTCATGTTCCCTCTTTGTGCCTGGGGCCAGGCATGCAGAATATGGTGGGAACAAATTCTTCCAAGGAGTCAAAGATCTTGAAGGACAGGGCCCAAGGTTCTTGTTACTCCAGGGCCCTGCTCATCCAGGCTTGCCACCTCCAGTATGTTATGAGAGAAACTCCAGCTCATGGACTCTTGTGGGGCACAGGCTCAGCAAAAGTAATTGTTAATCTGGGGTCTAACCCTTACCTTCTCCTGGATCCCTCAGAGGTTCTGACTCAGTGCCAAAGAGTGTGTGAGAACAGGGACAGCTGAGCTGCTCTCCAATGCAGAACTGCATGCAGGACAGCCCCTCTGTGGTGGAAGTGGAGGGAGCCCACAGGCAGGGGACAACCTAGCTCTTCCCTCAGAAGCCAGGACATGCCCTCAGCCCTTAGGTTCGCTGCTTGGGTCTCCCTCCAGGGTCTCAGGCAGCCTCTGCTTTTCCCTGGCCTACAAGAGTCAGACCAACTCTGAACTTGGGAACAATTGCTGGGTCTGGGTCCTGTCACCTGGGCTCCCCTCCCAACTGGGTACTTCCTCCCAGACTCTCCTGCCAAGCCATCCTCTGCTGACAACCCCTGAGATGTGTCCCCAACTCTGTCCTCAACGCCTCCTCTCACCCTGCCCCTCCCTGGCGATCTCATCCACTTCTGCTATCAGTGACCCTCTTGCTGGATATTCCCAAGACCAGGCCACAGACTGGGCTTCATCTCCCCCGGAAATCTTGCATCCAATACTGAATCCCCACTCCCCTAACCTGCTGTTCCTCGATGGACCCAGCTACCAAACCAGAAGCCAGGACGGACTTGTTGACACTTCCTACTCCCCATATCCAAAGTCAACAATCTTGTCAACTCTGCCTCATTCCTGTCTCTGGAGTCTCTGTTCCCATGCCACACCTTAGTCAGGTCTTATCACCTTCTCTCTCCTCCAATCCATCTCTGCACAGCAGCCAGAATGATTTTTTCCATAACAATTATGTCACTCCCTTGCCAAAAATAAAGTCCACAGATGAGCCTCAGCTGCTCCAGCTTGCAGTGTGAGCTCTATGTCTTGGCATCCAAAGCCCTCACTGATCTGGTCTACTCTTGGGCTTCCTCACTGCCATGGGCACCCCTCAGACACTGCGCTCAAACCCTCCTTGACCTCTTTCTCAAGTACCTCACTACGTTAGCCTTCATCTCCTTTGCTTCTCTGTCTTAAGCCCATGAATACTTGACTCAAATTGGGCCAAACAGATTCTCTTGCCCGAGTCCTTGAATCTTGGAATTGAGAGTTTGAGAGTCTGAGCTATGGAAAGTCTCCTCAATGCCCCTAAATAATGGGTGCTAGAGGTGCAATGCTTGACCTCTGGCTGCTGGGGCCACTCACTCCCAAGCCAGCTGTCCCTTTGATTCCATGCAACAAGCAGGACTCTCCCCTAAACACCTTCCTATTGCTTGCAATTAAAAACAGTTTGAGTCTCTCCTGTCTTAAAACTGCCTCCTTTGCACAATCCTCACCTTCTGCAAAAATCTGAAGACACAAAATTAGACACCTCCTGTGGCCTTGGAGAGCTTAGTGTCACTGTGGGGACAGGCACAGTAAGGGGTAAGAGCAAATTAAAATTAAAATGTAGGCAGGGCAATACTAGAGAAACTCTCAGGGTACCATTAGAGGGAAGGGCTCATGGAAGATGTCCTGGGAGAAAGGTCATCTGAGCAGTGTCTTCGAGGGATAAATTCCAGTTCAGGAACATTAAAGTGAATGACAACTTTTTATGTTTATTCAAAATGACCACAGATTTATTAATCCCTGTGAAAAAGGTAATATAACCAGATCACACACTTTATTGATAGAAAAAGATTTCATTAAGAAGCTTAGCACTGATGGTCACCTGTTTGAATGTTATCTCCTGTGCCCATTTGAAATGCTGGCAGGCCATGTATAGCCTACGGACTAGGGTTTTGGAAAAGGGTAGGGTGGGCTAGGCAGGGGGACCAACATGAGCAAAGTGCATGGAGGAACTGTATGGGGCTGGGGGAGGGAGGATAACATTTAGTTAAGTAGAGAAAAAAATAGGTGAAGGCAAGAAAGGAAACCAAGAGGACCAGAAACCTGATCACAGAGGACCTTATTTTCATACTCAAGCCCTTGTCAGGTTTTATCCTGGGAGCAGCAGGGAGCCATTGAGTGTTATTGAGCAAAAGAGAGTCACTGTCACTTTGGTGGGTAGTGTCAGGGAAGGAAAAATTGCTCTACCCTCGGTCAATTCTCCCTTCCCTGACACCTCTATTCTTCCAGCCACCTCTATCCCTGAGGCTCAAAGCTCCCAAGTGGTAGCTGCAGTTCTTAAGCTGTCAGGCATTGAGGGAAGAGGGAGTGCCCAAAGATCAGGGCTCAGAGGGAGAAGGGGTCCCTGCTACCCTCTGTCCCCACCTCGCCAGTCCCAGGCTGAATGTAATTGTCCTCAATGAAGCCATCATCATCCTCATCTTCACCCATCTCTGGGCGACTCCCCCTCCCTGTCTCAGGCAGCGGGCGGTGCCGGTAGCTGGCATGGTATCGGCGGCAGAGGTGGCATTTGGCAGCAAGTGCAATGAGGAGCGAGAGGACCACAGCCCCCAGCACAACCCCTACCAGCACCGGCCACGCCCGAGTCCCAGAACCTGGGTCAGGGGCCACGGCTGATGCTGTGGGAAGCTCCGAGGATCCCACAAGGTCTGCAGAGAAAGGGACAGCATTATGGGTGGGCCCCAGAGAGGATTTCCTGGGGAAACCAAAAAGAGTGCAGGCAGGGTCCTTCCCCTAACCCCAGCAGTCACCCTCCTACTGTCACTCACTTTCATTTGTCCCATTCATGGAGGGGCCTGACGACACCGGTGAGCCTCAGCCTTCACCAAAAAGACCCCTGGCTCCAAGGAGACCCCCAGACACCAGGTCGCCCCAGGGCACAAGTCCTGAAAAATACATATAATTGTGGGTGTCAGGAACGGCCAGAGGGTGCACATTCCGGGCCACACTCACGACCATGTGAGTGCTGCACAAACTCTGGGGGTTGGACAACTGGTCACACCAGTTGTCAACAGAAGAGAAACAAGCTGAGTGCATAGAAGTTGGCTATTTCTGGAGCTGCAGGGTCCAGCTCCAGAAGCTACAAAAAAAATTAAATAAATTCTAGAAATTACTGAGGGCTCCTTAGGATTCAGGCACCAGGCAATGTGCTCTCAAAACCCCTCAAGGTGGATATAAATATCATCCCCACGTTCTAGACAAGGGCTCCGAAGCCAAGAAGGGTGAATTGGCTCAACCAAAGCCCTAGGATTTGAACCTAGAGCTCAGTCAGCTACACTGCTTGGTAAGCTGAGGATGGAAAATGGCAGCAGAGGTAGATCCTGGCTCCCACAGGTCAGACAACAGCAACTGTTTAGAGCTTCCCAACCAAAGTAGGGACCACACACAGGGAAGGTGACCAAGTCCACACCCAGGACAGCCCTGAGTCAGGAGCCACTGCTGGCCCATCTCTACCCTTCATGCAAATTCCTGTCCACTCACCTCTACCTACTGGAGGCTCACACTCTGTCCCCAGAGGGAGGTTCAAGCCAGGGAGTGTCCAAAAAGAGGATCACCTGAATCAGGAAATTATCTGAGTGAGAATCAAGAGGAGGAACACCTGAATTAAGGGAGTCGCTGGAGGAAGATAGTCTAGGCTGGAGAACACCTGGAGGAGGAGCACCTGGGTCAAAAGGAGCATCTGGGGGAGGCGCAACTGAATCTGGGGAGTATCTACAGGAAGAGCACCAAAATTAGGGAAGTACCTGGAAAAGGAGCAGCTAGGGTTGGAGAGTATCTGCAGGTAGACCACCTGAATCAGGGGAGTCCTTGGGGGCAGAGTAGCCAGGCTAGGGAAGTACCTAGGAGAGAAGCATCATTGAGGAGAGTACTCTGTCACATTTTGACCCAGACACCTTAACGATCCCCTCCCTCCTCAGGTCCATCAAACCTCATTAGTTCTTCCTCTAAACATCTCTGAAGCGACTATGCCCCTCCCCTCCACCTCCACCTCCATCCTAGCCATAATCACCTATCTGGTCTCCCTCCACCTCTGGTCTATTCCCCAGAGCGATGGGCCTAAAGCCCAAATCTGACCCCATCACTTGCGTGCTTAAAATTCTTTCAGGCATTCCAAATGCCCCACAGCACCACGTGCAGATTCCTCAGCATGACCTTCAAGGCCTTGCATCCCAGGCAGGACCCTCAAGCCAAACTCTTCTTCCTCTTCCCCAGAGTCGCCTCCCCCACACCCCAGACAGGCAGGCACACCCCTTCCAACTCACTCGCCCTCTTGCTCCCCATTGCACTTGTTTTATGGACACCCCATCTGCCAAGGCCAAATCAGACCATACCTGCATGAGGTTGTCCCAGACCCCACCCCTACCCAAGTGACCCCATCACCGTCCTGCCCTGCCAACTTCCAGTCACAACTGGTCATTTCAAGGCCGCAGCTCCCCAAGGTCAGGGGCTGGCTGACGCTTCTGTGCCCCTGCCTGCAGGGAGCTGAGTTCTCAGAGAGTGCTTGTGAGATGAACAAGGGGAGTTTGAGAGGGAATAAATGGGCAGGTGGGGAAGGGACGCATTAGGAAGAAGAGATCAACTGTTCATTCACTCATTCACTACTGTAGGCCTCACCCTGAGTAATAGATCCTCAGAAAATGAGAATTGGTTCAAATGAAATGAAGTTAATTCAATTTGATGTTTCTAAAATTATACTCCTATTCCTTTCCTCCCTCCCTTGTCCCTATGTATCTCTCCAAGGACACACACACACACACACACACACACACACACACACACACACACACATACAACCACCAGGGGTACATATACACTCCCCAAAGAGGTGCACTCACAGCCCACACTGACCTGCCCATCCCCCTACATACACAGTCACCCCACCCCCTCAGGTCACACTCTCCTCCACCAACAAATACACTCCCCTCTGATATGAACAGACACATACCCCTACTCTGATTTGTGACTGCTTTCCTGCCTCCAGGAGCCCCTGGGGATCTGTGCAGAGCCTGGCATTCCCTTCAAGGCCCCCCGTGTCTTCCCCCTCTGCTCCCACCTTCAGGAACTGTGCACAGTCCGTGGAGTAAGCTTCCGGCTGGAGCAGGCAGAACCTGGACAGGTGGGCGGGCTGTGGAGCTGCCGCCTGACTCACCTGGGGAGGTGGCGGGCGGGGCTGAAGCTGAAGGTGGGGCAGAGGGCAGACAGTGGCAGTGCCGCCCACGGGAAGGACTCATTCTACATCTTCCTAAGCTTTTGTCAAGATTTATGGGTGCAGGCCTCACCTCCACCCCCAGTGCTCAGGGGTTGGCACAGCTGGGATCTAGAGAGGGGTCCAGCAGACCCCTCAGCAGACAGCAGCTCAGGCTGATGGCCCTGATAAACAAGTGAACTTCCGGTGACAGGTACAAAGTCCAGAGTTGAAGTGGGAGCTTTGCTGGCCTGTGAAGGCAGTGGGCTGGAACTGGAAGTGAGGAGGACATTTTGCTCAGGCAAAGCCAGAGGGACCAAGGACACTTTAAAATGATCTGCAAGTGAGTATGTTGGCGTGTTCGTATGTGTTTATCTGGATAGGCGGCTCAAGCCTTCATTTGAACCTCAAGGATCCTGGGACCCCACCAGCCTGACTCTGAGCCTCTCCTGGTACTCACTGATTCCCTTTTGCCTTACTCCTTGTCCCTGAGCCTGGTGCCTCCTTGTCCTTCAAGACCCAGTTCAAGAGTCACCTTCCCTGAGCCCTTCCTCTACCTTGCAGGCCCCGCCTCTTTCAGGCCCAGAGCACCCTCTATCGCAGCATTTCTCTCATTATCTTGTAATTATTTCTTCCTGTGCTGCTGCCTCCCCCATTAGCCTGGGATCTCTCCCATGGTGGCACCTGGCACCAGGCTTTGACAGCCTCTGGGCTCCCAGCACCCACACAGTGCTGTCTCAGTCTCTCAGCAAATGCCTAAGCGAGGAAGGACTGCATGTGCTGAGGCATAGAGGTACCCAAAGTCACAGGGACCGACAGGGCACAGCTGGAGCAAGGGCTGTGGAGAGAGATTGTAAACAGGACATGGTGGAACTGCAGCTGGAAAGTGAAGGTCAGTTCACGTGTGGCCTGGAAAATATTAGGATGGATTCTGAACTCTCACCACCAGTGGCCCCTTCCCACCTGTCCCCCCTCATCTGGTACCGATAGCTTCGCTTCTGCTCCAGTCACACCAAACTGTTATTTAGTCCAGGAACCCATGGTGAGCTCTCTTAACTCCCAGGCTTTGCAGGCTCTGCTCCCCTTTTCCTGGGATCCCTGCTTTCCCCAAACCCTCCCCCACGGATCCATCTTCCACCTGGCTAATTCTTCCTCCCAGTCCTACATCACTCTCAAGTCTCCCTTAGGTGCTCCCTTGTCTGGGTGAGGTGTCCTTCTCCCCTCCCTGCAGACCACGGCCCTTCTTCCCTATAGTCCTGACCATACGGGATTGTGATTTTCCCTTTAGAATTTCCTCTACCAGCCTGTAAACTCTGGAGGTGGGGGGAGCTCTGCATCTATCTTGTTCCCATCATATCCCCAATATCAAAAAATGGCAACAATAAATACTTCTAAGCTAAAATGAATGAGAGGAAAGCAAACATTATCCTGGATGGGACAATGAGGTGCTAAGGAAGGTTTGAGGCTTTACTGCATTTTTGAAGCAAGGAAATCATAGAATTCAACCGACATTCATTGAACACGTACTGTGTCCCAGACTCTGTGCCAGGTTTTATTAAACTGAAGTGTTCGTTATCCATAACCTAACTCACATAACATAAAATTCACAATTTTAGTCTTTTTTTTAAGTTGGAGTCTCACTCTGTCACCCATGTTGGAGTGCAGTGGCATGCTCACAGCCACCGTAGCTTGACCTGCTGGGCTTAGGCGATCCTTCCGCCTCAACCTTCCAAGTTGCTGAAACTACAGGCATGTGCTACCACGCCCAGCTTATTTTTTTATTTTATTGAAGGGATGAGGTCTCACCAAGTTGCCCAGGCTGGTCTTAAACCCCCTGGCTCAGACAGTCCTCTCACCTCGGCCTCCTGAAGTGCTTGGATTACAGGCTTGAGCCACCATGCCCGGCTGTGCCAACTTTTTAATGAATTATTTCATTCAATCCTCATAATCATGCTATGAGATAGATGTTAATTGTTTCCTTAACAGATAAAGACAATGAGGCTGTGAAAAGGTGACTGGCATGAAGTCCTGCAGAAAATCATAAGCAAAGATCGTGTACATCCATTTTCAGTCATTTATGCAAATAATATTTTATGAATGTCCACCACAGAGCCACAGCCAGCCCATATGTCACACATTGCAAAATAACAGATGGCAACCTGCCAGATACCCCTGCACCATGGACCACAGAGAGCAAGACTGGATACCAGCACCCATGGTTCCTCAGCCAGGAGTTTTGATGCAGTGAACAACCTTTACAGTCTTCAGTGGTAGCCCTTGCTGCCATATGGCAGGCTCTGTGCTAGCTGCTGGGGACAGAGTCTGTGCCACCATAAAGCTTCCATTCTGGTAGGGAAGATGGAACTTAAATTAGCCAGGTATAATGGCATGCACCTCTAATTCCAGCATTTTGGGAGGTCAAAGTGGGAGAATCACTTGAACCCAGGAGTTCGAGACCAGCCTGGACAACATAGTGAGACCTCTCATCTCTACAAAAGATTTTAAAAACTGGCTGGGTGTGGTGGTGTGCACCTGTAGACTTAGCTACTCAGGAGGCTAATGTGGAAGGGTTGCCTGAGCCCAGGAGGTGGAGGTTGTGGTAAGTCGTGAGTGTGCCAGTGCAGTCTGGGCAACAGAGTGAGACCCTAACTCCAAAAAAAAAAAAAAAAAAAAAAAA